GTAAAGTATACCCCACACACAAATATATATATATATATATATATATATATATATATGCAGAGGAGGGATCAATTGCAAACCATCCTGTGAAAACCTTATAAACCAATCCCATTCATCCATTTTCTTCATCAATGGTTAATATTAAATGAGTTTATATTAGGAAATAAAGAAAATAAAATTTTAATTTTTAATTAAAAAAGGGCAAATTTGTCAAATCCCCAACAATGAATAGGTATATTCTAATAACTACTGTTAATTATGGAAATATATTAATGGAAACGTTTCATATGGAAGTAGGTAAATCTTTTTTCTTAATATAATTTTTTTTACTATTAATATTTTTTATTAAATTATACTTATTAAATATGAATTGTAAAAGCAGTAGAATATAAAATATGTGTTCGTTTCATTGAAAAAATATATGTACTTTGGGTAATGAAACGAATGTCATGTTCAATAGTGACCATGAACACAATTTCACTGATTAATTTAATTTATTAATATTTCGGAACGTTTTATGCATGAAAAACGTTCATTAAATTAAAAAATATTCAGTTTTCAAAATGTTTCATTAAAACTTTAAAAATGTTTCATTCTTTATATGTTTTATCATTTATTAGGATTTCCCTTGTTTTAAAATTATTTTGATTAGAAACTATTAATAGTCTAATACTAATTCAATAACCGTTAATGAAATAGTTTGCAATTATCGTTCAATGCTGCATAACAATTGGTCTGTCTTTCATTGTTGGTGACAAGGAGTCACGTGAGTTCGTTTTATAAAGGGTGAAACAGTTTCATTTCTTGTCACCTACAATGAATTAGGTATATCATAATAAATTATGAAACATAAAACATACTATAATCAACAAAAAATAATGAAACATTTTGAATACTAAAACAAAGATTTTGTTTCATTAAATCAAGAAATAAAACTGTTTCATTATTTTTTGTTTCAATACTAATTCAATAACCGTTAATGAAACTGTTTCATTAAATCAAGAAATGAAACGAACACATATTTCATATTCTACTGCTTTTACAATTCATATTTTAATAAGTATAATTTAATAAAATAATAAAAATATTAATGGTAAAAAAATTATTTTAAGAAAAAAGATTTACCTCCTTCCATATAAAACGTTTTCATTAATATATTTCCATAATTAACATTAGTTATTACCTTCCAATGTTAATCAATATACGATGAAATAACCATTATACCCTTATTTATTAAAATTAAATAAAAGAACAAAATTTCCATATTGGTCGAAAGTGGTTTGCATAGTTTTCATGAATTGAACGGTTTGCAACGTAACCCGCCTCTATATATATGCAGACAGTGTCTATATAATTATATAATATAACTTAATTAATATATGTATACATATAATAACGATAAATAAATATAATATAGTATAGTATTTCATCGATTTAAAATTTTATGGATTTTAAAGATGAAACAAGTTTTTAAACATTCAACACTCCCTATATTAAGGGGGTGTCATTAGCACTACCCTTACACCTAGTAATTTATGTCATGTTTTCTTAATTTAAATCAAAAGTTACTTATTGTTTTATATTTTAAAATATAATCATCTATAAATAATTTAAAAATATATTGTTGTAATAAAAAAGTTAAAGTTAAATATTATAATAATAAAATCTAAAGAATATATTATTATTTAGTGCTTTTAATACTTAAATAAAAATATATTATTATTTTATTATCATTTGTAACGGTCAAACAATTTTTTCTTTAATTTAATTCATATTTATTATAGCAACTAATTTACATTAATTTCTTGAGAAGGATATTTAAATTTAAAATTTTTATTTTCTAAAAAGCCCACCATAAAGTTGTTCTATAAATTGGCAACAAACGCACCATTTTTCAAACAAAAACACGAGATAGCATTTTAACCAATATATCTCGTTATTCATTTGTGTTTTTGCTACGATATAAACAATGGCGATAAAGCTGTCATCTCTTTTTACCATTGTCTTTCTTCTTCTTGTTCTTCAAGAAACCATATTATTTTCAGCCATGGCAGACATGAAGTTCATACAGGACACATGCAAGTCCACTCCCAACTATGATTTATGCGTTAAGACTATATTGGCAGATCCTAAGAGCCAAGATGCAGATTTAACAAACTTAGCTCTCATCGTAGTTAATGCAATCAAAGAAAAAGGTATCAACACCATAAACTACGTCAAGAGTTTGGAGAGCGATCGACCGGAGTTGAAGTCGCCGCTAGAGTATTGTGCTAACGTGTATAATGCTATAGTGACGGCAGACGTTCCTGAAGCCGTTACCGCATTGACTCAAGGTAATCCAAAGTTTGCTGAGGACGGAGTTGCTGATTGCGCAGTAGAATCGCAGGCATGCGAGAGCACTTTTGGCCAGTATGGTCAAGCATCTCCTATGACAAACATGAATAAGGATATGGGAGATCTTGCTAATGTAGCTAGGGCCTTGATTAGGATGCTACTGTAAACTTAATTTATTTCAATAAATTAATGAAGAAAATTTATATTATCTGGTGATATTATGAATTCAAGTATCAATTGACAATTTTTCGTGTATGGTTTTATATAAACATTAACATTTAAACAAAATCAAAAAATGTTTTCTAATTTATTTAAGGATTTTTTATAATTTCCATTAAAAGTTACATATGATATCCACAATTAATCGACGTTTTTTTTATTTCAAAAAGGAATTGTTAATTTTTGTTAAAATATCATATGTAATATTGATCATAGTAAATTTAAGTGGGAAAAAATTGTTAGTTATCTGCAATATTACATGTGATATTCGTAAATTATGAATTACTTCTTACAGTACATGTGATCATATACATATTACATGTGTTCTGTTACATATCATATGTGCTTCTGTTTTCATTATTTAGGTTATGTTTGGTAAATTAGCTAATAAGATAACTGACAGCTCATAAACTAGCTGATGATTGATAAGCTAGCTGTTAGCTTATAAGCTAGCTAATAAACAAATCAAGTTTAACATAACTAGTTGATGAAAAGGTAAAATGACCAAAAAAGGTATTTTAAAAATTAATCAATTATAATATTTCAAAATATAATTGAAGCAAATCTCTAATAATATCTATACTATATTATAAAGCATTTAACAAAAACTCTTAAAAATTATTTTTTATGCATGAAGTACTATATATTGATGCATATTATTTAAAATTCAAGATTACAAATAAATTATGTATAAGTACTACTTAATAAAACTCCATATTTGAATTCGTGTAACTAAGCGGATAAACATAATCAAATAGAGGATAAAATTTTTATTTTAAAATATAAAAAATTTAAAATATAATTAAGATAATTATCGAGTTCTAACAGAATAATAATAATTATTTTTATATTATAAAGCATTTGACAATAACTCTTACAAACCATTTTTTATGCATGAAGTACTATATATTGATGTATATTACTTAAAATTCAAAATTACAAATAAATTATGTATAAGTGCAACTTATTAAAGCTCTATGTTTGAATTCGTGTAACTAATTGTGGATAAACATAATCAAATAGAGATAAACATCTTATTTTAAAATATAAAAAATCTAAAATATAATTAAGATAATTATCGAGTTCTAACAAAATAATTATTATTATATTTATAGTATGAAACATTTGACAAAAACTTTTAAAAACCATTTTTATGCATAAAGTACTATATATTGATGCATATTACTTAAAATTCAAGATTACAAATAAATTATGTTAAATACAACTTATTAAATCTCCATGTTTGAATTCGTGTAACTAAATAAGAATAAACATAATCAAATAGAGGATATACATCTTCTTTTAAAATATAATTAAGATAATTATCGAGTTCTAACAAAATAATAATTATTATCTTTATAAGAAAATTATATTATTAAACCAAATATAAATTACTTCGTTATCGAACCTAAA